AATTACTAAAACACTTGTATGCAAACAAATACATTTGTAATAATTCTTTTCTTTAATAAAACTCTAAATTACTTAACTCACAAATTATACTTTGTCTCTAAAAATACATTTGATCAATAAACCTTCAGAAGCTCTCTATAAATCATATTATAAAATCCTAAAGCTAAATCCTTTGTTAATCTTGCGTTAATACTAATTTTCAGTCATTAGTATTGTAAGATAACAATAAGTTGTATTAATAAAAATGGTGGTTTAAAAGTGACATAATATATTCTGAGTTGTTTTACAGCAAATAGAGCTAGATTATGTCAAGCACATTTAGCTGGCTGTGATAATTTTAAAAATACATATACAGAAGAAGAAGTGCAGAATATTCTTTCATAGTTCTAGAGGATAATAAACATGATAGTAATACAGAAGGTAAATAAATATATTATAATGTTTATTTAAAATATTAATAATTTATTTTAACTTTTAGATAAAGATACCAGTGAAGAAGAAACTGAATCATATCCTCCACCTGCTAAAAAATGAGATTCTATAATATTTATATGTGTTTTCAGTCAGCCTCCTTTAACCAATTATTTTAATCGTCTAATATCTAGTAAAAATGTACCAAAATTTGAAGCACTTTTTTTACGAATGCAAGTTTCAAATGGCTTGCCATTTATATTTGTAGAAAACTCAGAAACTCATGTATTATTTAATTTTATTGCACTGGGTTTAAAACTACCATCTCGAAAAAGATTAGAAGGACCAATTTTATTTAAATTATTGCAGAATTTACAAGAAAATATCTTAAAAATAGTATGTGCAGATAAAGATGAAGTCACAGCTACTTTTGACGAATGGACTAATATAAAACAAGAACATTTGTGAGGTGTTGTTTTTATTACCTCTCAAGAACAACCACTAATTTGAGAGGCAAAGAAAATTAGTTCTGAACATTCAAGAACTGAAGATGTAATTCATCATATTAGAAATTTAATAAATGAGACACAAGAAAAAAAAACAAATAATTATTAAAGCATTTGTATCTGATTCAGCGGGTGAATATGCTGCTGCTAGATTAGTATTTAATATATCAAATTATATTAATATATTGTAATAATTTAATTAAAACTAATTTTTTTTAGACGGTAACTACGAAGATAATATTCAAATAAAGTATTTCTTCCATATATGACACATCAAGTAAACCTAGTTTTTGGTGATATATTTAAAGAAAAATTACCAGCTCATTCTTTATCAAATTAAGTAAAACAGTAGCAATATGTACTGCAATTGATATCGTGATTGTATTAGGCATTTTTTTAGTGTGAATACTATGATAATCGTCAATATTTAAAACCATTGCATTATTAGCGCTTTCTGAAAGTCTTGATTCTACAATCATTAAATATTTTTGAGATACAGCATCCTTATGATAAGAAATTATGCGAGATGTCATTGTCAAATCCAATGTCGCCAAGATATCTATTGTTGAATTTGATATTCCAGTAGAATCTAAATATATTCTGAGATCTCTTTTTGCATTGTTAATAAATTTATTTCTAATACCACAAAGATAATAAAATAAAAATACTAATTGCTCTGATAACTTTCCATTGTATCTTTGTTTTTTGTCAATGGATTAGTTGATAAGTACAATTCATCAAAGAAATGCTTTAACCACTTATCATTTGATTCTATAAGCGTACGAAATTCTTTAAAGGTCCAAACTGGTAACAGTAATTGATGCTTTCTTTCATAAAGAATACTTGTAATTATTCCTACAGCCTGTAAAAATGATAAAATATTATTGTTAGAAGTTTCTGGCTCAGATTCGAGTTCATTATAAGGCTATTCTAATGCATATTGTTGAAATTCAGAAGAAACATTAATAAGAATTGCATTATAACATTGTAAACATATAACATCATTTTCTTTAATATAAAAAGGAAGTGTTTTTAGCTTTTTCACGAGATACTACCATATTAGTAACAGTTCACCATGTTACAGAATTTTTTTTACAAATTATTATAGTGTACGATCCTTCAAGTTTCTTTGCTTTACCCATAAAGTCACTACTAAGCTAACACTTCTTGAATAAAAGATTATTAGTAATTAAGTTTAATAATAACGTTTTAATACTCTAATGAAGCTATGTGTATAACAAATTTTTTTTTATATGTGTGAACCCTTATTTTTCGAAAGTACTCTAAACTGTATAAATAATGTGACTATTAAATAGGAATGTGATAGCCAATCACATAATCTTCTTCCTATGTATTCATGTCTGACAGAGTTTTTATAGCTCGCGTATTTCAGGTGATTGATCTACCCTCTCATATGACCTGCCTATGCTACAATCGCGAACTTTTTGAACAGACACAACTAAGACAATATTCCTTTCCATGCCATTCACCAGATATTCCGTAATTGCTATGATTTCAAGAATGAGAAATGCTCTAAGACAGATTTGATAATTAGTTCGGGATCTGGTTTGTTATCATAAGTACAGTCGTCCCCCTTTATAGTTACCCCCTATATAATCACATCATATAAATCTCTCATTATAAGCACACATTTCGTAAGAACCAATACCTATTAATGCAATATAAAAAAACCTCATTATAATCACAGTGTTTTTATAGTCACACCCTTCCAGAACCAACGCTTAGTAATATTACATTAATAATTATATTTATCGTAAGATATATTAGGTTTTTTTAATAAGCATTAATTATTATATTCATTTTTATTTTATTTTTTTTTAGTTTATTAAGCATTTATTATTAGCGTTTCTACATATGTATTTCTTATTATTTTATTATTATTATTATCATTTTATTGTTATTATTATTTTTTTATTATTATTATTATTATTTTATTATTTTAAGAAATTCGGCTAACAAAATTTAAGTTAGCGTAATGAAGATAACTGGTCATTAATATTCGTTAGACTATATTGTTCACTAGCCATAATTGTCCTATTGGAAATTTAGTATATAAGTGACAGAATTTCCTTTAATAAAAGACATATAGTTTTTTTAAAACAATGATAATAACAATTTTCCTATAACGATAATTACAACGTTTAACACAGTTCATATTCGCTATAATAAAACATATTCAATCCTTGAAAAGTCCAATAATTCCCTAAACACAAAAACATCGTTATTATTTTCCCTTTACATTTTTATTGTAATAACTCTGAAAGATATAATTAATAAACATACCTGATTGTATAGAGCGCTGACATTGCAGGCAATACGATATCTATGTTGTATTAGATTAGGAATTCCAATTATTATTAATTAAATTAGTAAAAACAATAAAAACGATACCTTCTGCTTACCTTAAAACTCTGTTTATAATCCATAAATATCAAAGAACTGCTATTAACAATATACAATATGTCTATTACCTATTTCAACGCGAAGTGATACTTCATGGTTACTTAAAACTATATATCCAGCAAAGTCTTTAATTGTCTTAAACTCAAGCCCTTTGCACTTTATTGTCATATATGATTCAGTGATAAGTAATTTTAAGTGATCATTGACCTTATTTTATTCTTCAGAGGTTATTCCAGCCTCATTTAAAAGGATAAGTTTTCGTGTTTATATGCAATTATTAAATCTTCCTAATACTTTTTCAAGATCTGATGTTATAAAGAATAATTCCGGCCCTAGCATTTCTTTTCCAAAAAATCTGCTAAGATATTTTTTCTGGAATGTGAAGGGAAATGTAATACTAAAACAGTACCAGGTTTTATCAGGATATTGTATAAGATATGAAAACCAATTAAGAATAAATTCTAAATAACTTTATTCCCATTACACCAGACATTTTCTATATGCCAGATAATTAGTTCAATAAGAGTGGAATCTATTTCAAAAATAGGTACTTTAAAACCCAAGAAAAGATTGAAAAACTTTGTATTTGGTAAGAGCTACATGGTGGGTATGAGAGAAAATCAATGCCCTGATATTGAATTAACCCTTTTATGACTGTCTGATTTACTAGATTTACTAATTTTACTGCTTCCCCTCCTAACTTAATTAAATTAATTTCATACTTGGTAATTTCGAGCTAAGATAACATTTTAAAGAAAAAATCACCATCAGAATTCTCAAGTTTTAATACCCATAATTTTGTATCAGTTGAATACATGCTATTGTTGCTTAAATAGTTTCATATACAGCATTGCAAGTGAATTTTTCTTTTGTACCACACATGTTAATTAGATCACCTCATATAAAGTGATCATTAGAATCTGATATTCTGGAACGATCTAGTTTTGTAGGACTCAGAAGCTTCTTTTCTCGATCCAAGGCAGTTTCGTTAATAGTAAGTTTTTTTGAAGGATTTCTCGTTCCAGGTTTCTGATCCTGATTAACGTAGTGGCAGTAAAATCTATATATTTTACTTTTGTATAATATAAGCATTTTTACTACTATGCTTCTGATCACATAATGAACAGTGTGATAGAGAGTTGCGAGTTAATAGAAACAAGTCTGGAATGTTATCCGAAGGTATACCCTTCGACACAATTATCTTTAAGTAATATTTTCACAAAATCAAAATTGCCCTGAGTTGTTTTGCCATTAGTATCATTACACTCTTTGGCTTTTGGCTCTAGAATAATTAAGAGAGGACTTTCTCTGATTTCTGATTCATAATTTGGCTAGTAAAGCATGAAGTCAAAGATTGTCCTATCTTTGGGATGCATTGCTTTTTTTACACGAACGTATTCCTTTGTTTTTTCATCATACTTAGGCGAACCAAGCATTCGCAAGAAAAATGATCACAATATTATCTATAATACTATTTCCCTGAAGAGACGCTGGAAGTTTCTTATAGACAAGTTCAGTGAATACTGCGACCTAAGCGATATTCTTAAGCCTTATACCAGTAGTAGAAATGTGGAGGGATATTTTTTCGCATCAGTACTACTGGCAACAGTAATACTATTTTTTTTCCCACTTTGGAAAAATTTCAAGATAAACATCTTTAAAGGCATGTTTAGGTGTATCTAATATGCAAACAAGATAGATGTGAAAGACCGATGGCTTCTGAATATAGATTTTGTGATTGGCATGTAAAAAAGTATCACTCAAACACATATTATCATCAGAAAAAGTTGGATAAAATGTTTCAGAACTATCAGACCCCAGAGGCAATGAGTCAAGCTCTCAATAAAATAAAAATATCTGATACAATAAAGTGCTGGCCTTAGAAAAATCTGCCTTTGAAAAATCTGCCTTAGGAATTTTCAACTTTCAGAGGCAGAAACGAAATAGCAAATTAATTTTATTAGGATGCTAAAATGGTTTCTTAAATGGTCTGCCCTAGATGACTTAGGTGGCCTAGAAAAAATCGGACTTCTTTACTTTTATTTTTTTATTTTTCATCTATAAGTATAGCGAAAAAATAGCATACATATAATATATATATATATAGCATACTGATACATATACCAAAAAAAAATACCATAAAAAAATTTCATTTTTTTAAAAGAACTTTATTTTTTATTAGGATACCTAGAA